AGCTGGAGAGAGCGCCAGGCTGCCAAGGAGGCTGCTGGTGGCGCTCCTGCTGCTGCTCCTGAGCGTGCTGCTCCCGAGCCTGCCCGCGAGGAGCCCGCTCCCGTGCGCAGAGGCTACGTGCCTCCTCACCTGCGCTCGGGTGCCAGTGCTACCCCTGCTGCTCCTGAGCGTGCTGCTCCTGCTCCTTCCACGGAGCGCTACGTTCCCCGTGCCATGCGTGAGGCCGGCTCTTCCCAGCCCCCCTCCCGCACGCAGACCCCCGGCTCCAGCTCCGACAAGACCGAGGAGTCCAAGCCTGCCGCTGGCAAGTGGGTTCCCAGATGGAAGCAGCAGCAGGGTGGCCAGTAAATCGCATGATGACATGAAAAAGTTCTTTGGATGTTTGATGAAAGGGCGTCTGATATGAGTCAACCTTCCTCTTTTCTCTTTTTTCTCTCTCTCTTTCATCCTTGTGTTGTATAAACACACAACTCTCATCCACCTACAAACACTTTTCCGCCCCGCCTCCCCATCTTCATGTTCGCATAGTACCTTTTTTGTCCTCCTTCCTTAGCCTCAAACCCGGTACGATTCTTCTTTTTTTTTTCTACCTCCATACTGTTCCTACTACGTCTTTTAGTTCTTTTAGTTGATGAGGTATGAACCTTTGCGAGGTGAGAGAGAGAGAGATAGATATCGGGGGTTCTTCACACCATGAGGTTGTAGTTAAAGCTCTTTGCCTCCCCCCAAACCGCCAACTGCTTGATCTAATTTTTCTTTTTCTGGGCATGCCATGTCAATTGATTGATTGATTTTTTCTTACATTACCCGATCTCATGGTTTTTTTTACCAAATGCATAGTATTTTCTTTCGTTCCTTCACTTTATACCTGAGTTGTAGACATCACTTAACACTTAAGTAGATAGATAAGAGTATATTCGGCATGAAACCACCGATATCACTTGTTTCAAGTCACCCCCCACCCTAAAAAAAGGACCCTAAACAATCTGTCTTCCTTTCCTCCTTCTTCCTCATTCGATATGACCGACTGGTTGCATGCACACCAGACAGACTTCTTTCCTTCTATGAAAGGTGAGTGAGCAAGTAGATAGGGAAGGTATTGCTACCTACTAAGTAAGTAAGTACCCTGGTATCTGTCTTTGTCACCAATACAATAAATACCTGAAACAGACCCCATACGCTTGGTGAAACTGTACCTGTGACAAGATTTTCTCACGGACTCACTCGTTAGGCTAGGGTTAGAATTTCGTTTACATTGAGTAAGTACTACTAGTGCCTATTGTCAAATAGGTTATGAAAAAGGGGGAAAGTGTAGATAGAGTATTGAGGGATCAATTATTGTGGGATCTAGTTGGACTTGATAGTTTGCGTTGAGTAATATACCAGGAAAGTAGTCTATGCATTGAATGTATGTATGTACTTCTATGGTGTCGGAGTTGGAGGTTTGGATGTGTGGGTCATGGATATGTGGATATCGGGGAGATATTCTGACAGGACAAACTGAACGAGGTCATACTTGGCTTGGATCTGGTGGAATGAATGAATGCATAGCAATTGTGGAATATGTAGGTGGATGAAAATAAACAGATAGATGGATGGACGAACCCAGATGAATAATCTATATACTAGAAAGGAAATTTGCAAAAGGGGGTATGGCCGCTATCTCTGGCAGTAAGTAGTACTCGAGACAATATGTCTGGGATGTCAAGGGCAAAAAAAGAGAAGACAGAAAAGAAATTTATCCCGTGAGAAGAAGAAGAAACTGGTAGCATCCGTCCTTTGTCTATATCCATTATCCCTCCCCCTTTACCTTTAGGAAATAGTCATCATCTCAAGCAGCAGCCACTTCGGCTCCAGCGGCTGCCCCGAAGAGCTTCTCTCGCCATTCACCGCACACCGCCTCGAAGCCACTGACTACGTCTCCGCAGACACGGCCGGCTTCGCGATCCCGGAGTCGGCGGTCCCAGTCGCCTCGTTCGATCCACCGGGTCCCCTCCTCGACGCCTTCTTCCTCACGGCGGAGGTCGGCTACAAGTTCGCGAGCAGACCGGAGTCGTCGCGATGCCGTCGACGTAAGCTGGCGCGACTCATACAACGTATCGCTCAGGCCCCGGAGCGACAGGGTGATGTCGGATGTCTGCGACACAAGGGTCTGCAGGGAGACAAGAGGGTTCAGGGCCGGTGACTGGGAGGGGGTAGTGGGTCTTGAGGAGTGACGTGGCTGTTCCGGGAAAGGATACGGGAGGTTAGGCAGGAGTTCTTCGTCGATGAGAGGAATGAGCGCATCTATAGCATCTGAGGAAAGGAGCGGGAATGGCGAGAAAAGGAGAGGGTGGGTGAGGGTCTGAAGTGCCCGCGTCTGATGGGTAAGATGTGAGGTGATGGACGAGTGTGCAGTGATGAGTCTAGATTTCGAAAGTTGTGTTAGCCAGTCATTATTCCGAGCAGACCAAGACACTCTGCCAAGTCACAGACAACAACAGATCCACCTACCTCATGGCATTGTTTTCAATCCCACTTTGCCCGCCAAGATCCCGGAGAGCTTCCACCGCCCGTTGAATCACAAAGTCATTCTCACTGCCATTGTTCTCTAGTCCGCGACGAGCCAGACTTTCGATCTCCGCCATCTGCATCTCTAGGCTAGGCGGCATATCCGCTTCCTCGAAATCCGAATCGTTTCCATAATCGGAGCCATCATATTGCGACTCGTGCCGCCGGTGTCGATGGGCACCATTACGGGTCTTGGGCTTCGGAGGCTGCAGAGAAGAATTCCGTTCCGACGAGTAGCCCGATGAGGGTGTGCGGGCCCCAGTGCCCATGCGGTGGTATGCATCTTCATCGTCACTGCGATCCACATACTGTGCGTCAGGGCCCCCGGCATCCTGGCCCGACGTGTATCCGTAACCACCTTCTTCCTCCTCCCATGCATCCGCGAGCTCATCGGCCAAATTTCCTAGTCCGCCGCCTTCGTTGGCAGCACCGCCGAAATCGCCCGACATTCTATGGGAGCCATTGAATGATTGAGTATGGTGAGGGCGGACGTCCACCGGAGAAGAGGGGATGGATGAACGAGGCGTATGAGGCGACCGAGGCGACCGGTAGGAAAAGCCGTTGGGAGCGTAGGTACCAGGAGAAATGGGGTCGATGTCGATGTTGGAGGAGCGACTCCGAGTATGGCGGTGAGATATAGTCAGGGGAGGTGGGATGGACGGCATGTTGCAGGATTTAAAGGAGGGGAAGAGAGAAAAAAGACGAGGATGCGGTGTAGGCGTGGAAGGGTCAAGGTGATAGTTTGACGTGGGAACCTCGACGGTCTAAACAAGGGAAACAGGGGTTGTTTGTTGGAGATTCTTTGCAAATCGTAAGTGGCTGCCGCGAAGTAAATAACGAACAGGGGAACGGAAGTCAATGGTGGATCGCCGACCGCATCACCAGGATGCTTTTCCACGCAGCCAGTTGTAAAGGACGGGAGGGAAAGAGGGAAAAGAGTAAAGGAACGAAGAAGTCGAGACCGGCTATCCCGAGAACGAAAGAGTCGAAATAAATTAGAGAATGAGCCGGGGAGAGAAAGAGAGAGAGAGAGAAGGAGAGAGGAACAATAATAATAATCTAACTAATGAGGGGGGCACAGAAGGAGAGGGAGAAAGAAGCCCGACCCTCAAAAAGATCTCCTCCCCGTGACCGCCCAAGCCCCGATTGACTCGCCGATCAACTCCCCAAATTGCTTCATCTTTCCCCTCCATCTATTAGACTATCTTCTTGAGAACCACCGCTCAACCTCCCCCCCCCCAAGAAGTAAACACACACCAACCATGAGTTCCATCCGGCGCATGTCCCCAACGGACCTTCTGTCCCTCAACCTCACCAACCTCGACCCATTGACCGAAAACTACGACCTCGGATTCTACCTCAATTACCTCATGCGATGGCCCTCCCTTTTTAGCAGCGTTCAGGATCGCCAGGAAGGCATCGTGGGTTACAGTGAGTTTCTTTCCCACCACCCTTCAAGTAGTAGTAATCACCACTAATGCGCGTCATCAGTCATGGGCAAGCTCGAAGAACAACCCGCCTCGATGCGCCATTCCGAACACTACACGCCCTGGCACGGCCACATTACCGTTTTAACCGTTGCGCCCGCATGGCGCCGTCTCGGCCACGCGCGTCGTCTCACCGAACGTCTGGAACAGGGCTCCGATATCAACGATGCCTGGTTTGTCGATCTCTATGTACGAGCGGGGAATAAAGTTGCCGTGGGGATGTATAAGGGCATGGGGTGAGTTTATACCCTCTTTTCTTCTCTTATACCCTTCTTCTTTTCTCTATTCTCTTACCGGATGTTGTTTTCTATTCTCCCTTTGTTTCATGATGCTAATCAATGGAAATTAAATGCAGATACTCCGTCTTCCGCCGAGTAGTAAACTACTACAGTGACGATCCAACAGGCTTCTCGGATTCAGGTGAAGATGCCTTTGATATGCGCAAGCCGTGCAGTCGCGATAAGAAACTCCAGCATATTCGGGAGAATGGGGAGGAGTTCTTGGTGGATCCGATTCATGTTTCGTAGGACGCTTCGTTCGGGCGGTGATGATGATGATGGACGGATGGATTGGACGCGTCTAGGTATATATACATATGATGGTGTGAGGACAGCAAGGAGGGTTGATGAATAGCATAAGAGAAAAGTGGTTTGTCGGTCGGTTTGTTTCTAGCATTTGGTGTTTGGGCGTTGCCATTACTATTATTGTTTCTATTCTGGGTTGATGAACGGACGTGTCGTGCCATGCATGTTGAGTGGACTAAGGACAGCTTGAATAGAATTCTTATAAGACCTGAAGTCATTGAAATAAAACAGGCTTGAAATGGTACCCATGCTGTGCATTAAATATCTATCAATCAATCTGAATCGTAATACATTAAGCAATATGTTCTAAGCTAGTTCTTGAATCTTATCTATCGTAATCAAAAGATCAAACTTTTATCATCCCAAAAAACAACACCGGTTCTCCAATGATGCATGATGCAAATGCAAATGCTTAGATGGAATATGTAACTCTTTTGGGTCATCAAGTATTAAGGTAGCAGTTCTCATGGAGGTGAGTTGATGCAGTCGCGGCGTAATTGATTGAAGTGGGATTAGGAGTTGGTGTGTTGTCAGGCCGCGCTCACACACGCGCGATCAGTCTCATACTCGAGCGAGAGAATCTCAGCGCGGCAAAGACGGAGGCAGACGTGATGAGACAGCAGGCTGTGAAGAGCTGCACTCCCAGGTAGCTGCCCGAGTTGCTCAAGATGGCACCGCCGATAGGTGTACCGATCAGCAGTCCGACAGAGGTGATTGCGAACACCATGCCTAGACGAGTTCCTAGGTCCCGGATGTCCTTGGTCAGAGTCACCATCACGACCGGCGGAAGTGACACGAAACCGCCGGAGCAGAGACCATACAGTACGGAGAGAACGATGATGCCTGGCGCATTGTGGACTCCGATCCAAGCGAAGGCAAGAATAGCGGTAGCGGTAGCTGCAGGAGTGAGGACGTTCAGGGGACCCGTGTGGTCTGCGATGAAGTTCGGACAGATACGTCCAATGGTGGACCCCGCATTCAGCATGGAGAGCAGATAGAATCCGAGGGTAGAACCAACAATTCCGGTGTCGATGGCATAGGACTGGATATAGAAGAGGAAGTTGTAGAATCCAAGGAAACCCAGGAACATGCCAATGCAAAACATCACAAAATGCGGCTCCTTGAAGGCAGCCAACTGGACCAGCTTGCGCTTCTCTGTCGGCTGGAAGCGCATACGCATGATGCTGTATGAGATGCAGCAAGTTCCGAAACAGAGGAAGCCGATAGCTCTAGTTGCCCAGGGAAAGCCGACCTTGTGCTGTAGCTGGTCAAACATGATCGGGTAGATCACACCCCCGATACTGCTGCCCGAAGCGGCCAGGCCGTTGGCCAGACCACGTCTCTTCTTGAAGTACTGAGGCAAAATGGCGACGGATGGGACGAACAGACATCCGGCAGACAGACCAATAACGATACCTTGGGCCAGGATCAGCTGCCAGAACTTGGTAGCAAGACTGGTCATCATCAACCCAAAGGGAAGCATGATGCTTCCAAACGTGAGCAGAGCACGGAAATAGCCTGCATCGAAGAGAGGTCCTGTCACCACACCAAAAAGCATGAGTAGGAAAGCCTGGAGTGAGCCAATCCAGGCGATGCTGGACGATGACATGTCCGACAACAAGTCCTGCTCATAATACGTTTGGAACGCACCCCAGGTGTTAATGACACCCCTGGCCGTCAACTTTCGTCAGTTGATGACCTACATGGTACCAGAGTAGAGGGCCTTACATACCATGAGTTGAAGAAGAGGAAGAAAGAGCCTAGCACTTGGATCCATGACTTGAAGCCGGTATCGAAGATCGGTTCCTCTGAGGGTTTCTCCTCTGACGGAGTAGGAAGTTCATGGCAGTCGCCATTGTTATTTGCAGTGAGGGATTCCGCAACAGCCTTCTCGTCGTAATCAGCATTGGTCCCCATTTTCCACCCCAATAATGATCGATCAGACGGACCGTCTGGTGGAGTGGACGATAAAGGTAAGGGTTGGAGGGCGAAACAGACAGCGGATCAGATAACCCTAGTAGCAGTCGACGTGAACACAGCCCAAACCGCACTCACTGAGAGCTTAAATCACCACTTAAGATATATTTCTCAGGACCGGGGGACTAGGAGCAGAGAGGAGGGCGACCCCAGGTGGAGGTCAGGCTCACACTATATACTGTGCTTAGAAATGAATCATAGCGGCACACAGTAAAAATTTATTAAGGTAGTGCCTCCAAGCCCCGGCTAAGGACTAAGCTTGGGAGCTAGAAAAGCAGACTCAACCAAGACTGAGTAAGGGGATCCACTCATCGGCGGCCATTCATGTTGACTGATCCCCTGGGAGTGGGAATGGAGACAGTCAAGGGAACCAGGCTCTGGCTGATGCCCCATCGTGGGAAGAGAGCCTACTGGACCAGCAATGAGCGGGTTTCCGGGTAAGCGATGGAGTCACTTGCCGAGGGACGGAGCCACAAGAGCCCATTCTTTTCCCCAGGAACATGTCTACGATGTGTTGTCGGGGAGAAGTTGGAGAAGTTAGTCCACGAGCATGGGTAATTGGGGAAGGAAAGGGTACGCCCTGCGCTTCACAACTGCGGTTATTGAAGGCATGCTCTGCATAAGCACGATTGGAGGATGACTGCAGATAGTGGACTTTTAGTGTGTTTGGGAGGGTGACAGCGTGCCGATTTATCCAGGCGGGGGCCGAACTGCATATCATTTCTTTGTAGTCCATCCTGTATCTGGTCCGTTGACCTACTTATTCTTGGCGAATGCGACGCTGGCTTGAACTCTTGAGACACAAGAATGAATCACATTGTCCAGGCTTGACAGGTCAAGGAACGGTCCGTCCATCTTGAGCCCGATCCTCCTAGAACGAACAGTGTAACTGGCGACAGAGAACATAGCGATAGCAGGGCTTACTGCACGCTGAACTGACCCACCAAAAACTATTAACAGCAATAAGAAGGATGCTTGATTCGAGACCTTCAAGGCGCTTATTCGTAAGCCAGAAAAATACGGGATTGAAATTCTTCGGAGATATCGGTCTTCGCTCCGAGTTTGTTTCCCGAAACAAGACGGTCTCATCGCCGATGAAGATCGGCTGGCAGAAAAAAAGGTGACCAAACCACGGATCGGTGAACACTTGCTGATTTGCTTGATACATAGACTAAAGCCTGTGATTGCGCAAGAAAAGGTGGCTGACCGACTTGAGAAAGTATGAGAAGGGAATCAAACCAGGCTATCCATGCCTTGAAACTGAGCAGAAGAGAGAACTTGTGTCCTCCAATACTCATGGGCTGACCACATGCCTCCAATCACGGCATGTCATCGTGCATTAGTGCTTTCCGTGCAGTTCGGCAATGCGAGACAAGCCACGACGTTCGAATTGTGCTCTCCGACTCGGCTGTTTCAGTCTATACACTGGCGGTCAGAGAAGCGCGGACCGAAGTCCGTACGGCAAAGTCAATGAATCAACTTATCTTACTCGTCCAAATTATACTCCGAATGAGGCATTTGTGTCGCCTAGATCCACTCATTGATGACTCTTAGCTAGTATTCATGAGCAAATACATTGAACGCAACATCTCTGTTATGACTCCTACGTGTTCTGTGGAGGCTCTCGAATGCAAGCATGTCGAAGCACTTGACGGGTCAGACGAATTTATGACGTGGTCAGTAAGAGTAGAAAAGATAGAGGATAGGCCATCATTTCCTACAGACTCGTCGCAGCTTGACGTGAGCTTCTGGAGCATGTCGTATCTCAGAAAAGGAATGCTCGCGCTTATCTACTGGGAATGTGGGAACAATGCCATGTGAGGACTTGACGCCATACCTGCAGTTGCATCAGAGCCCCAAAGTATCCATCTGCTACAGTGCTAGTCACAAACTACCCTGCCTGCTACTTCATACATCTCCAAATTGGGGCCATCATCCCGCTCAGGACCTGGAAACAGACCTCGGGCCGTCAATATTGGTTTTACATCGGAGCTTACTTCTGTGAAGCGCTCTGCCTGGCTCAGTTGTGAAGACGCCATTGCCTCTAGAGCAGTAGATTGCGAACAAAAAGGCCTAGATTCTTCCACACCAAAGCATGTCAACATCAAACTTTTTTGAATTTTACTAATATATAGACTGCAGTGCGTTATTCTTTTGAGTTTTCTTTGTCTTCCCAGTGTCCCAGTGGCTGCCTAGGCCAGTATGGCCCGCTACCCTACTCCGAAACTCCAAACGCTATGCTGCCCAGAGGGAAAGATCCTTAGACCAAACACATACACAATAAAGTACCAAGAAGCCATTTGGAAAAAAAATACAACCACCTGTCGTCTCCACGTCTAGAGTAATTCTTCGCAAGTCCAGTCCTCGTACCTGTATCACAAAAATAATGATTAGATCGAATACGTCAAATTGTCAAACCCACATGGAGAAGGCCCGCTTACCATCCGTCGGGAAGATATCTCCGCACAATCAGTGGGATCTTCTTCTGGTTCAACTCCTTGATGGCAATCTGTAGAGGATCCGTCTCGCCCTCGAGATCGACGAGCACCGGGGCGTTCATACTAGAGACATGGTCAGCATCCGATTGCGCTTCTCAACCCATCCTTGAAGCCGCATCGATTGCCGAGACGAACCTGATCTGCAGGGCCCGAGTACCCAGGACACGCGCGCGCTCGTACTTGGTCATGTATGGAGTTGTCTGGCGCTGGTCGTTCGGGACCTTCTTCTCCCGCGTCTGCTCCATGACCTTGCCCGCATACCCCGCATTCGGGTCGCCTGAAGCGACAATGTGGTTTCCGTTAACAGCAGGCGCGTATGAGCCTTCGCCATATTCATCGGCGCCTCCTTCTGCAACATCGACATCCTCGGGGTTTAGGAAATCTTCGGGCTCGTTGTCATCGTACTCCTGCTCCGGCTCGTAGTCGTAACTATAGGACAATCCTAGTCAGAACATCGGAAATTTCACCTAGCAAGAATGACTGCCATCGATAGGTAATGCAGACGCGCAGCATTGACCTGCGCAAGCTCAAGCTCTTATGGGGACCGGTCTCTTACGTTTCCTCAGCATCGTGGTCTCCGTAGTCAGACATGGTGGCGGATTAAGTAGGGCAAAATTGGGACGAAACACCAATCGAATATGGCAGCAACGAAGACAATGACAGCACCGCGACCGGGCCGGGTTGGGGACGAGACGATGAACTGTTGCGACGGGCTTTTCTTCCTCGTGAAGAAATCGAAGTCGCGACTCTCAGAACCCGGAAAAAGTTCCTGTTGCTCGTCCGGCGCTAGACTCCTTTGGGTGCCGCTGTTCACCGCCTCGGCAAAATTTCTGGATGTCGTCGTGCAGCCATCACTTTCATCTTGATTTTTCTTTCCTTCCTGTCGCCAGTCCAGTGCTCATTAATCAGGCTTGGATGGTCTAGAGGGCCGCGGAGCTATGGCTCAGAAGCGAAAAGCCTCGGGGGATCTCCCCAACGCGAAGCGGCTACAAAGCCGAACAACGCTGGACGATGTCGGTAAGATATGCTCCAGAGGCCGAGTCTAGATTCCGTCTGATACTAATTGTCTGCCATATACTCCAGACCCAATATATGAAGAAAAACACTCGGACCCCGAGTATGACTTTTCGGATGACTCCAGTGTAGCTAGCGGTAGTCTTCACGAGACACCAGCTACTCCAATGTCGACTATATCCGCTAGATATCCTTCAGAGCTGAAAACTCACCGCTGCCCTTTCGAAGGTTGCACGAAGGCCTTCAACCGTCCAGCACGACTACAGGAACACCTGCGCTCACACAACAATGAACGACTCTTCCGATGTACCCACGACGATTGCGATAAGACGTTTCTTCGAGCATCGCATCTGAGCCATCACATTAAAAGCGCCCATACCGGAATCAGAGACTACGTATGCGATCGCCCCGGATGTGGGAAGAGCTTCGTAACTGGCTCACGTCTTCGTCGACACATAGCTGCTCATGATGGCAGAGACAAGTACCGCTGCACGGAATTTCCGCCCTGCGATGAGACCTTCCGGAAACACTCGACGCTCCAAAAACACATCATGAGCGTGCATTTGAAACAGAAACCCTTCTCTTGCCCGCACATCGACCCGACTACCGGCCAGAAATGCCCAATGGCATTTGACACCGCAGGACACCTTCGAGCTCATGAAAGTCGCATCCACACCGAGAAACGGTTCATCTGCACGGAGTGTACCCAGCAGGCCGAGCAGGCAAACCCATCATCATCCGAGACTCCCGCTCCCACCACATCAACATTCCCGACTTACGCCCTCCTCCAAGCTCACATCCGAACAGTCCACCCCCCACAATGTCCCAATTGCAACCTGATCTGTTCCACAGCCCGAGAACTTCGCCGTCATCTGGAAGTCAGCCACGGCAACGTGAGTCTAGAAGAGCGAAAAGTCTTCCCCTGCACCATACCCGGTTGCGACAGCAGCTTCACCAAGAAGGGCAACCTAACCGTGCATATCCGCACCGTTCACCAAGGCGAAAAGCGCTTCGTCTGCGGCGAGACCGACCTGTCCATGTCCAAGCGAGTCGTCGGCTGGACAGGCGCCGACGGCTGCGGAAAACGCTACGGAAGTAAACTCGCCCTAGAGGAGCACATTCGCACCGCGCATCTCGGCTTCCCCAACGCCAAAGCCGAGCGCCGACAGCGTCTAGGTCTGAACAAGACACCGGACTCTCACCAAACCGGTCCGTCCGCATTGGCCGCTCTCACAGGTGAGGGTTATGCCGAAGAAACCGGCCGACAGATCACCTGCTTCATCGAAGGCTGTCCACACCGGTTCCACCGGAATTACGATCTGTGGGTCCATATGGGCAGTAAGCACGGATGCACTGAGGACGAGATCCGCGATATGTTCATGCAGCGCGCGCTACTGGCGGACAGCAATGAGCCCGTTACCGGCGACATGTTTGGTATTTATGGACTCGAGTTCGATAACGATGACTCCTCCGCTCCTTATGAACCGTATATCTTGCATGCGGATGCAAAACCTGGTCTATACACGATGGGCAATGGTGGTGACCCTACAACCAATGAAAATAACCCCGGCGACTTTCCCAGCAACTTTGCCGATGCTATGATTCAAGATGTCGATGTCGATGTTCTTCCTCCTTCTGCTGCTTCTTCTTCTAAGATACCCAGTGCTGATGATATGGCGATGATTGATCCTTTGTTGGCGTATAATATGGCGGATTCATAGGGAAAACTGTCTTTTTACTACCTTATCTTGTCTGGTCTACTTACATTTGTTTGACACGATTTCGGGCTACATAATGTTGGTTCATGATCAAAAGATATCTAAAAGTAGACATAATGAACCGTCTCTAGCGTCTATTTTTGTTTTTTATCTCTCTTTCCGTCTCTTTTTGACTCCTACCCTTCTCCCTATCCATGATTTTGTCTCGAACGATCGAGCTTCTAGCTAGGTAGTGTCTCTAGATGAGTTATAATGCGAAATGCAACATGTTTCCCACACCATCAGGCCCCCAAGGTGCGCAGCACCCAGTTGCCACATGCATAATAGACAAGGAAAATGCAAGACAGGGGAACACATTCCATGCAATATCATCAATGTCGTCAGCATCATGTATAGTCAACCAGCCAGCCAGTGAAGCGGCATCATCGTGTTAAGAGAGGAGAGGATATTTGCAAGTAGGAAGGAAGCCAAGGAAGAAAGGAGTAGTCAGTAGTATACATAGCAGTGAATGCGTGCAACCACCTTGAACCAGCAAGGCAATGAATAAGTAATACAATCACGAACAAGAACAATAGAGAGGCGGGTCCTGGACGATGTCATCGAACGCTTTTCACAAACGTTGCACGGTTGCCGCGGCGATCTCACGAGGAGGAGAAAAAAAGAGGGTTGCCCTGTAGATAGTAAAGTCAGCTTACGTTTGCACATACAGAAGGTGAGTGATGTGAATGGAGTGTGAATTGGGGAAAACGTCAACAAATGAACTTCATGGTCTTTTCCCTGGTTAGGGTCGGACCACTGTGCGGTGAGGTGAGATGCGATGACTTTGCTTTTTTGTTTTTGTCATTTTGCCTAATACATAAAAGTGAGGGAGAAGAAGGAATAGCGAGTTTGCATCTTCCTAAATCGATACTGGATTGGCTCCTGCTTCGACGGTAATGTCAGCTTCTCCGGCCCACAGTCTTCGCCTACTGCTCTTGACTACCAGAGCTAGAGCGGTTTGGCAATGACATGGGCGTGCGGTGAGTGTCATAGTGTCGAAACTGGTGCAACCCTAGAGACTGGGATGGCAACTGAAGAAAATAGAAGGGAAATTGTAACAACTGAGCGAGGGGTTTTGTGATTTTCCTGGAGTACGGCTCACGATCGCCAATCAATGGGGTGAGCTTTGGTTGGCATACCTTCTTGCTTTCGACAGAGTGGAGAGGTTTTCTTTCGTTTTGATATTCATCTTGAGATCAATCAGAGACGTTCGTAAAGTATGTTGCTCAAATACCAGCTGACATATGGGTGAAGCTGTTCTGATATGCCTCGTAAATCCTGAAAGCTCAAGATAATCAATCACCAAGGACAGACTGAGACGTATTCGATTTGATCAAGAAAGTCAGGTTCCGTCTCCTGCGGGGGCGAAGCCGGTTCAGGTTCCTCGGGAATTGGAGAAGGAGGTTTCACCGGGTGCTAGGAGGACACAGTGTTAGCAAAGGAATACAAAATGACCTATTATACTAATTTCCTTGACTTGCCGGATCTTTCTGAGGCCACTTCTCCGTGTGGTTCTCTTCCACAACACAAGCCTGCTCGATCATCTTCGCCTTCTTGCGAAACGAGTATTTTGGAGGCGTGGCAGTTAGCTTGAAGTCATTGGTATTCATGGCAAGCAACGAAAGGGTCTTGGTTAGGTCCTTCTCCAAGATCTTGTCTGAATCGAATACGTCTTCGAAGTAACCACGATTGGTATTTTCGTCGGACCCCTTGAATGGAACAGGCGTGGGCGGAGTGGACTTGATTCCGGCAATGGAGACTCTTGTTTGTGCCAGATGACGCAGAAATCTGATATATGGCTCGTTTGCCGTTGGGGAGGGCTTGTGCGTCGTGAAAAGTCGAGCGACGTCACAGAATAGATGCACCGCTGGGAGACCTCTCGCCATACCTAGCCAAAGGGCCGTCTTAAGTAGCAGATCGAATGCGCTGTTTTCATGCTCAAAGTCCCATTTTACCAAATCACCCACCTGGGCTATCTCTGCAGACAAGCGTGGAGGTGCAAGTCCCTGTGGTGGGAGCCAGCCCCATGCACGGGCTTTGTCTGGCTTGTGCACGCAGGTATAAGCCTTGTAGGCATGGAAGAAAGAGGTGAACACAATAGCAGAGTTCATATAACCTTCCCAAGAAAGTGATGCTTTGCATGCGTCAATCCGAAGTTGTTTGATACTCAGTAGAGCGGTGCGTTCCGTGGAGACGGGGAGAGGATTGTAAATTTTTCCTATGCTGCGTTAGGCTGATGGACTTCTTACAGTTTTAAGTTGGGATTGTCACTCACTATCCTCCGTGTCCATTTTCATCGCAATCATGACATCGCTTTTGAACAGTTCGATGACCCGGATAGATGCTTCAAGCTGCTCACGAGCTTTGATAGGACTTGCACGCCGAGCATTGAGCCAGAAGACTGGTTTATCAGATTCCTTGCGTAAGAACGCTACCATCTTTCTTAAGACCTCAATCTCAGCCCCAAAATACGTCTCATCGGTTATGTTTGTCTCCTGTCGTTCGGTATCGATCTTGTTGAGAATCTGAGGGTATCTTTTCAGAAGCCATTCCTCTAGCTTCATCTGGGTGGCGTGCATTTTGTCGTCGCTTTCAAACAGCATGCTCAAAAGATGCTCGTAGGAACCTGGGAAGATATCTTTAAGAATTCGAGGGAGTGATTCAGAGTCCTCATCGACAAAGCTTCCAGGATCAAACCCTCTGGTAAACTCTATCATCAGTTGGTCAAGGCTCTCATTCTCGGCCTCGATGATCTCCTTGGCTTTCTCTTCCACCATCGCACAGCTATCGGTGGGCTCATCAAGTACGATGTCGATCGGCTCGGCGACCATCTCCTGAATCGGTGCAGAGACAAACGGAGAAGAACAGGTGATATCCATGGCGACAGTCCAATCAAGACATACCAGATTTGACCTTATATTCTGAGTTGGTTGGGTTAAATTTGGGAGAGAATATGAACAGAAGGTAGAATAACACACCAAGAGGCTACCTGTTATTGTCGAAGGTGCTGCGAACTTTCCAATCCTCTGGCAACCTACCCCGCAGACCAGGGGGGTGCTTTCTGAAAGTATTCACAGACCTCAGGTATGCTGAGAGGGATGAAGACGCGAGTGTGTAATCTCGAATGTTGGTCTCAGAAGGATTCACAAGGGGAGAGAAAGAAGGTTTGAGTAGGAAGTATACAAGCCAACACAGAGTAAGCGAGAGGGGAGTGAATGGGAGCAGAAGCAAGTTCTGGCACGCGTAGTGAATGAAAGGCCCAGTGAAAACCAGAAACTTGCATTAATGGTAGGGAAAGACACATTCTGCCCATCACTTAGCCCCAATAGTGCCATCAATCTGAGATGATGTACAAGGTTGCTTTGGATTTGGTTAATATCAGTGCCAGCTTACCAAATTATAGGAATGCTATGGGCGTAGAATGCCATGAAGGACCTGATATATTCAACCCTTCTCCTTCATTTGTAGTAGTGTCATCTTAGAAAAACCAGACCAGTACACCTTCTCTGGGAAATTTTGCAGATGAAACAAAAGTATTTGCAGACAGTCATACTGTACTAGAGAAATGTATCGATGGATGTGGGCGAAGCGAGCCTCACCGTCTCGGCCGGTCAGTGGAGTGTGTACTTACGAATGACACCCTACAACTTGCGCCGAGTATACTTCATATCACGGGATATCCCTGACAGGTGCATCCGCAACTAAATTCGGACAGGGAAGCTTGTGCGAATCCACATGAACATGATGAGTGATGAAACTAAACCGAAGAGTCAACATCTCCAAGTCACGAAACTGGACCTGACGCTAGTATTCGAAGCTAATTGCGAGATTAAGTCCAGGACCCGGTGACATTGGATGCCTAACTAAGGTGACATGAAGTTACAGTAAAGATAGTCTTCACAACATATCCAGCACAGTTGAACCATACCCACGAGTCACCGGGGTATGAGACATGATGGGCAGATGACCAAATGGCAGATACGGGAGAACACTTGAGATGACCAGGTACTCAGACTAGCCCCTCCGATTTGTAGCTTGCAAAATATCGACTGGTTTAGCTCGATAAACACAACGATGCGTTTTTCTGGTAGTCACATTTTGCGGAAGGCTTATGTAGCCTTATACGTCCGATACCGGAGAGAGTCAAACTCGAAGACCGATGAAATTTGCATCTAGCCAACATACAAATGGGAGGAATTTGAAGAATGTGGAAATGCATTTGCCTAGACATGTCATGTCGCCAGGGTTATATTACGAAGCTGTAGGTCAGAAGACCCTTATGACCCATGAGAACACTTCAAGGCACATGACAGCCGACAGCTATGGTCTTGGCAGGCACGGATATTTGACAGTATGAGAAGCATAGCAATATCGGCGTTTAATAATCAATGTTTGGGGTTCCGATGTTCATTCCAGTTCGAGGGACCCTGCAGGATGTCTGATGTCTGCGAAAGGTCAGGTACAGGCGCCCCTCCCCCTGAGTGGGGCTCGTACTGTGTGCCCTCAGAGGTATGCTCGTAAATATATTGATATAAAGCAACCGAAGTTAGTTAAGATGACTATACGCGATACACGGTCATCGAGGGTAAACCTATCGCTGAGCTTGTCCTCAAGCCGAAACTCAATTGCAGCTGACTCCACAGAGTAGGGGGTGTGCTAAAGCAAGTGGAGACAGAGAGGGACTCCATCAGAGGTGAAACACAACAAGACTCATGTGGCAGAAGATCGCTTAGGACTTGAGGATCATCTCTCTTCCAGTATTATATCCTACTCTGTCGATTGTATCACCCCTCCTCAAAAGTTACTGAGTCTTAGCTTGCCGTAAGGCGAGGGGAAAAAAGCTATTATACCTCACAAGCTAGGATTGATTGCATCATGACAACCGCATGGCTGATCCTGCAATCGTGTCCCAATGAAATGCTTCAAGGGAACGACGATCAAGCGAGTAAAAATCGTAAGCGGAGAAACATGATGGAGGAGACTGGTTGGATCTTCAAGAATATTGGCGAACGCAGGACATGCCTACGTGGTAGGAGAAGCTTTCCCGCGTTGGATCCTACAGCTGAGGTCATCCTGCCGACATTATCTCTTAACCAGCAATGATCGCTGCTAGGAGTTTGCGCGTCAAGCCTGCGATCATCTTTGGAGAGCTCCGCAGCCTTAGCAGACTAAGAGGGGAAACACTCTGGCCGGTGGGTCACGGGCTGGGGTTTGCGCTACGGAGTGCGTACACCCTGTTGAACATCTCAAAAGTATGAAAGTACGTGCTTCTAGAAAAATATGTGATTTGATCGCTTGTTATGCTAACCAGCCACAGTCAACAACGAATCATCGGTGGCTTTGGTTGAGGGGAGAGCATGCTGAGCAATAGTAGGCGTCTTATAAACGGGGCAAATCCTGATTTACCGCCTGAGTTAAGGTTACATAACCTGCAGCATCATGAATAAAGTTGATGCTCTCTGTTCAACCCTGTCTGATAAGAGCAAATGCCGCAGCCACTTTAGATGAGGCTAGAATTGCGGATAGTTGCTCTGCAGTGTCCCCAGCATCGCACTAACTAAGACACAGAGAGAAGGACCCTTGCTAATTGATTACTTTGCTCGGATAGCAGGGTACCGACAAACGACTGTACCAACGCAGTAACCCCAGCCGCTTATAATTTTAGATTCGAACTAAACAAGTTCTTATTCTTAGCCTCGGACCTTAGCAGGGGTATAGGCTTTCGGAACTATTCCTGTCTCGATGGGCTTGGGCCGAGCTGCAACTGGAGATCCAGTCCGATCATTTAGGGTGAAATATGGACATTTATGGTATTCCGGTTATTTATAGTGTGAGAGAAGTCAAGTTGGGAAACAAGGAGCACAGCGGACTATCTATTAGTTGCTAAAAGATGCAAGTAGCAGTCTCAGTATTCAGTGAAGCTACCCGCCAAGATCATCTGATGCCGTGTGGCACGGCGGGCCTGTGGCAGTGCGCCAGTGGATTATTGACTCCCGGACCATTCCTCTTTCTGACTGTCGCCTTGCATTCTTCCGTCCATAAGGGACAAGGGACACGACGACGCCTTTCCTTTCTCCATCCACTCCATTCATCCATCCAATCGTACCATGATACATCTAGTCTAGTACTTCGCATTACGAGGGTCAGTCTAAGTTTTCTTCTGGCTGCTAGATAAGAGACGAGCGGGTACGATGACTGGTTAGGCTGCACTTGGCGTGATACGTTGTCTCCTCTCCTCACCTCGTGGGTGAGAAACATGGGTTGATGAGCAGAGGCAAAAACAAAGGACGACCGGTGGAATTGGCTGGGAAGTGGCAGTCGCAATTAAGACATGCAGGACTGTGTTTCTATATTTGGCGAGATGGTGGGATGCAACCATAGGACTGACTTCTTATTTTGATTCACGGCATGAGCTGATTGGAGGCAGTGCTAGGAGTCAGTTACGCGGGGGGCGTGCTTTTTTAGTGGGATAGACTGGATAATCCACCCGGCCATCCATGTTTTGCTCGGATGGCTGACTGACTGACCCGGTTGGGGCTTGTCCACGGGGGAGAATGACAGTAAATACTTTACTTAATAATACCACATAGGTGTCCATTACTTAGTTACTTACTTCTTTTCTGATGACTGTTATTTATTTTTATTTCTTATGAATATTACTTACTATAGTGTCATTTTATTAGGACTGTTTCTCTTTGATTACTAGCAAATTCGGTTCGCCTGTTCTATCTACTAGCGACCCATTTATTGTCAATTTCATCTCTTGCAGCAAGCCAGGCAACAAGTAATATCCCGGGTATTACCCCGTACTTCGTTAGTTGACCTGCAGTTATTTCTTATGATCCATGCCGATCTCATTGGAATGACTTTGGAGGAGATTCAAGCAGCAGGGGCAGGGGATCGGAGTTTTAAAAAAACAGAAGAAGAAAAGAAAAGGGCAGCAAAAAGGGAAAGCGAGACTGGTGGCCCGTCCGTCTGGGACCATCTTTAGTCTAAAGGAGGCACATTAGTTTCAAGTTCGATTTGTAGCCACATGCGATGACGCCAGCCGCCAGGCAGACAAGCCGGGCCAGAACCACTTTTGCGGTACCGTAACACACCACACATACCATAACTTACCCAGTATTGACCCGCAGGTCCATCCAGCATGACGGATGGGTATCTGCGGCTTCGTCTTCACTCTCTTCCCTCTCCCCGTCACTTGCTATACACTGTTACTTACTACGAGAATATTTTATTTTATGTGACATCTACTTCTTACTTACAGTCTTTCCACTCGGAATGTTAACAAACAAATAACAACAAATAACAGCCCAGATCCACTCTCCGTCAAATCTACCTCAAAGGAGGAAAGAGAAAAACAACAAGCCGACCCTACTATAAGTCCGGTAACACTTGTTACACTCACAACATTCAAGACCCACGCCTTAGGCTGGGTAAGTAAGTTGATCGTCCTTCAACGCTCGTCGGCTTGTGCTTCCTTTCACTGATCCTCTATGCTTCCTTCTGTCCAGCTTTGCCCTTTTTCTCCCTCATTTTATTTCCCTCTCTGTCGCCTCACTCGCTCTATCTGTATTTCCTCTCTCCCCCTGCCTCTCCTTTCCTTCACTTTCCGACTCATTCCCTTCCGCTTTCTCCGCCATCGAAACCTGAGACATCAAGTGGCCTAGTCAGGCGCTTGCAAAGCTGACTTTGCGCCATCATCCGCCATCTTGGCACTTGTTCCAGCATTGCCGCGGTCTTATTTGCCCTTCCGCTCCTGTCTTTCGTTTGGGCGCCTCCCCCCAGTCCCACCGGAAACTTGATGGAATCAAACTTCCTGATCTAGTATTGGCGGGTCCGGACACATTGTCGCTATCTCCGTGCGGAGGAGCTGGAC